TGCGCATGCTATGATCTATATCAGTTTCCATGAGTTTCTTTATAAATTGACTTTCTACATTATATGTACTTCGTGTTCGATGATTTCCAACTTGCGTTTCGGAAGTGCATTTTAAAACTTGTTAAAACTGCTGTAGCATTTAGTTTGTAATCATCAGTGAATTGAACAGAACTTCATAAAAATGGTAAATCTTTATGTATTAAAAGATGTCTTTCTATTAAGTCTGTTTAGCATGTGGAAAATTGAATTACTATCAATGTGAGACAGTAACAAGTAATGTAAAGTGAGGCTGATGTTAGGTTACTGTCAAATAAGTCAATGACACTGCACGTTTTATAAACTATACGATTTTAAATCTATTATATAGGAAAAAGAAATACTAAGCCATTTTATTATGTTTATTCAGAGTCTGAATTTATGTTTGAACCAGTCCTAAGTAGGAGAGTGTAACTTAAACTTGCCCAATTTGTTTTAGCTATCACAAGATTATTCTGATAGAATCTTTTCAATAAATCCATTTAGTATGTAAAAAATTGAATTACTAACAATACGAAATGATCAAAAAGTGATATATGTGAGAACAAGGATTCTTTATAAACTGTGCTACTTTTCAAATAGAGTCCTAGATTTTTAGTTTTTAAGAACAAGAGTTTTGAAGCAATTAAGAAAAATTATAATCATCCTCACGTATTTGTTTCAGAGTATTTTAGCTTACAATGGTGGAGCTATTATAGCGATGCAAGGCAAGAACTGTGTGGCCATAGCTGCCGATCGAAGATTTGGTATCCAAGCACAAACTATAACGTGCGATTTTCAAAAAATATTTGAAATGGGTCCACACTTGTATCTGAGCCTCCCTGGATTGGCTACCGACACTCAAACAGTGATGGAAAAACTGAGATTCAGAGTAAACCTCTATGAATTGAAAGAGAACAGAAAGATACATCCTAAAACGTTTGCATCGATGGTATCAAATTTGTTGTATGAGAGGAGATTTGGACCTTACTTCGTTGAGCCTATCATTGCTGGGTTATGCCCTGTTACATACGAACCGTTCATTTGCAACATGGATCTAATAGGATGCATAAGTTCACCAAAGGGGTTCGTAGTTGGTGGAACATGTATCGAACAACTTTATGGAATGTGTGAATCGCTCTATGAGCCAGATATGGAGCCAGACGATTTATTTGAAACCATCAGCCAAGCTTTAGTAAACGCTTGTGACAGAGACGCGATATCTGGTTGGGGTGCTGTAGTTCACATAATGTAAGTTAATGTATGCCCTTTCATGTAGGACACCTCAGCTAGAGGAAGCCAGCTAAAGATTTCTTCTGCTTTTTATGTTATGAAAAAGATATAAGTAGTTTTTAATGAAGAATACTCTGTAATAGAAATTTTTCTGTTGCATCCCGTAGTCGATGAAGAGATACATTCGAATGTACTCAAATGATAACTTTTAGATGATCATAAAAACCGACACAACAAATGTTTATCAACAAATGTTTGGTTCCTCACTGCGATGAATTTAAAAAAGTCGAAACAAATGAGCTAACAAAAAATTTTGTTACAGGCTATTTCTGATTCGAAATCATTTATAATATGCTGTGAAGTTTTCTCATAACAGAAAAAACAAAATAGATATTTATGTGACCTCCTTTAGCACTTTGACTGCTAAGTAGNATTATTATAAAGGTTCTTATTCTTCCATTCATTTTGCTTGTATTTTTTATTACAGTGAAAAGGACAAAGTTACAACGAAGACCGTTAAGACGCGAATGGATTAAGGCATCTCTCGAACGCATGTTTACATTGTGTACCAATATAAGATCTCTTATTCAGAGATACTGTATGAAATGTTTAAATAAATTAAGAATTTTCAGTAAACGAAGTAGAAAATTTGATGAGTCTTATCAAAATTCGTAAAGATTGCTGATAAATTTAAGTTTTTTAAGTCATTTTTTGTTTTTAGTTTTTAAGTAGTAGCTTATTTTCTATTTTAAAGATGTTAAAGATCTTTTCTGCTACTGTACATATTTTGAAGGTACACTCTCTTGGATAATGTAACTATCCAAAATTTGTCTTCCTTTTGAAACTTGACTGTACAGCAGTACAGTCATTCAGCAGACTGCAGCATATAAAACAGTCTATTTGTTTCAATATTTTGGCTTTAACGAAGCCTGCCACATGTAGTACGACGTGGTGCAGTCTTGCGTCGCGCAACCATGCGTGTATTGCTTTCAGTGATATGCCGTTGTCAAGAGTTATACTATCATCGTCGGATTCTTCTATGACATTCACTTCGCTGTCTGCATTATCTGATTTTTTTTTTTTATGACGAAATAGTGAGGACGCTAGTTGTATCTGTCGGATTATAATTTCCGTCAGCGGATGATTTGTCTTCGTTGCAATGAAGCAAGGGTTTGTGTGCTGAGGAATACTGTACGCGAAGGTTATACTTGTTTCGCAATTCATGTAGTAGGATCTTTAGGCTAGCAATTCTCTTTTTTTGCCTACGCGTTTGAGTCCTCAATTTTTTAATTACTTCACTTTTCTTTTCGCATGATTTCTTTAAAACACGCACGCATTTGCGTAATGTTGCTGGTGTCATGTTTTCTACTTTTAGAGTAGAAATATCTCCAGGATATCTAATTGATTTCTGAGGGGTAGCATAAATTGCATTTCCAGTGTGTTCGTCTGTTTCTGAAACATCACTACAAAAAAATAGGAAAAATTAAGTTATATCCAAATTATATACGTATAGCACATTCCTGGGACAGCCTGCATATATTGTCTTAAAATAACATTTGTTCACGAACTTATTTATTCCAATTAAATATTCATCTACACTTTTCTCTGCCTCAGAATCCATGACTTCTTCCTTAATGAATTCACATTTAAATTCACAAAAGTGTGCCGGCATCAATGACGTGCTCGTGCTTGCTTGCTCAGTTGCACAGTCCTCAAGTGTGGGTTCCATATTCGATACATCTGTTAAATGTGAATGAGTACTGAAAATATATATTGTGTAAAGTAAAGAAATATATTTTCAACAGGATTTCAACAAACTTCAGAAAGGCTGACCAACATTGCACTTCACAAACAATTGTACTTTTATTACCTGTTATTACGTGGAAATATTGATGGCACTGAATTTGGTTTTAAGCGATATTGTGAAGAACCACGCCTTTCAATGCACTCATTAGAAAAATGCATAGCACATACTTTGCCAGCTTGTGCACGATTGCTTGCATTTTCTTGATTATTTAATGTCCTAAGAGCTTCAACCCATTTCTCTCTAAGGAGTGTATCAGTTGGGAATCTACTTTAAAACATAATTTTGCTACAAGTATTTTCACAAGAAAGAAATAAAATGAATGAGGATAAAAAGAAAGACATAAACGATGTACTTGATATAATATAAAATATTAATAAAACATTAAACATTTGACATTATAATTAAAGATATTATATAGCTTACTTGAATAAGGGTACATTTACTTCATTTTCCTCGTTTACACGTCTGTATTGGGTTGATTTGCAATCATTTACAATACAGTACAAGCCCATTTTTAAATAAAATGCTCACAAAACAATGGCATAGCAAGAGACGTTATTAATAATTTTCATTCCACTCCACGAAGTTCTGCCATAGAACTTCTACAAACTTCTACGAAGTTCCCGGGCAAGATCACTGAGATCACTCGAATATGTCTGAATATGTCGTAGGACAAAAGAATAGGAGGATTCAGGAGGATTGCAATTGCACCGGTTGCACCTTGCACCTCCTCGGTGAGGATATATTTCGTCAGATGTCTCTGCGGTCGATATTAATTATTAAACCTTGCTTACTGCGATTGCCCATAAGCATAAGATCGGTGATCGTGGTTGTGGCTTATATGGTTTAAAAATATTGTTTTACATGCAAAGTTATGTTTAACAGCGATCAGAATGGCTGTTAACAGATTGTGCGCTGTATTTCGACAAGTAGTAGTAAAGAGACAAGGTAGGTAGAACGTAAGATAATGCATTTCCTGCAATTGTATAACCTTATTTAAATACTCTGAACTTTTTAACTTTGTTTATTATTTTAGGTAACATAATCGCGAGATATTGTTCTTCTCAAGTATCAAAAGAATGGAATAACGCATTTTCGTTGTCTATTCTATCTAAGAATTTATCAGATGTACCTTCGACGAACGTGCAAATCAAATTCATGCCCAAAACGCTTAATATAGATTTCGGAAATCCAGACAGTGTTTCCAGAAAGAATATCAATGAATTACCATTGTCTAAATACATACCATCGATGGAAGAGCCCACAATACAAAGGCCTATTCAACAGGACAAGCCATTGATGGATAAATCCTTTGAACTACCGACGATCGAAAATATTTATGAGAAACTGGCCATACGTATGATAGTAATTAGAAGAAAGAAAATGAAGAAGCATAAAAGGAAGAAACTGCGTAAGAAAATGCATTTTGTGTGGGCTAAGTTAAGAGCAAAACGCAACAGCTTGAGGGAGAAGGTTTTCCAAGCTGGACTTTTGTCTCAGATCAAGGAAGCAGAGGTGTTCGATGCAAAGGCATACGTTCAATCAAGACTTGCTCTTCTGGATAAAGAGTTTATACCGAGAACATATAGAGGCGAAATATTACCACAAGAAATGATAAAAAAGTTTTTGCAAGAGAAGAAAGAGAAGCGGGAAAGGCTACTGAACAAGCCTAAGTTAACATTGGATTAAATATGTACATATAAACTGCGTAAATAAATGTTTATCGTAGAAATTACGTTCGGGTACAGTAATTTCTTTCTTGAGAGACTATTCCTCAATCTTATTAGTGTACGCATGGTATTTTATTGAAGGAGGATAGAATGGAATAAAATAATTGTAAACACTGGCATTACTTAATGAACGAGTTAAAAATATTTAATTTCTGTTAGAACATTCTTTGCATTGCTAAAATTCATTGTCCATGTTCTTGATTTTTTTACAAATATCACTTAAGTCGCGGTGTGTTGCACTTCGTCTGTTCATCACATATATACAAGTATCATAATACTAACAATAAATAGCACCTCTATCTTATGCGTAAAAAGTTCGCAAGGCACCCGTGTTCTAATAATTTTCGATGAGAAAATGTTCAATCCTCTCGATGTATAAAAATATACCTGATTTAAATTACGATTACTTACAATTAGTCGACTAATAAATACAAATATCGTTGCGCGATTTAAAAAAAAGTACAGAAGTAAAATTATCAAAACGTCGATAAAGTCTTAAACGATTGAATTGACTTCGGTCGATTTACGAAATCTTCGAATAACGTTACTGTGTCTTGCTGCAAGACGAATACGCTGTCTCTCCTGACTTTAATTATTGTTCATTATGCGATAAAATTAGTTATGCATAAGGTTCATTGTAATTATATAAGAACTTAAAACATGATCATTTTTTTAACTACTAGCAACAATTTAAATTATTCGAAAACTCTTAAGCTCCTTATTAAATAACTTGAAAATGGACACGCGAAGCGTCAAAGGTATCGAAGTAAAATGGCACAGTAAAAAACATATGTTCATTAAAATTGATACTATACTGGTAGCTACATCAGCGATATATTTCCGTGATAGGACATCTGACAATTAACTAGTTTAAATATCGGTTTTGACAGAAATATAGTTACGGAGATCCGAAAAAACGTCATAATTGTTGTTAGATACATCGACTAACATCGGTTTTAGTTTCAATTTTTCAGAATCAATACTAAATCGGTTGCGTCTTTCAAATTCGTTCTTCGTTTCGATTATAGTTGTTTTAAGTAAGGAGTATAATAAATGTCCCAATTTCTGTTCACATCACAATTTATACTCACTGCTTCAAGTATAAATATCGGTAGAACTAAAATACAGAACCGGAAAATAATAGTTGTCGCTCCCGAAGTACCGAAACCCAAACCGATAAAAGTCATGATGGATATATCTAATAACAGTACAGCCATGTTTTCGGTTCTCAATAACTATATCAAGAATCGAGACCAATATCATAACTGTTTGCAATCGCTGGCTTAAATGGAAGACCCTCCGAATATTAATCCTATTGACTGTATAATTTCAAGGCAATACCTGGCCCTTCTCCACCTTCAAAACCATGCTATTTGTCGTCAAATTGTTTTTTCTACCAGAGAAATAATCCTCAATCTCCTGTAACGTTTTACCCTTTGTCTCAGGAAGACAGAGGTAAAAGTAAATCGTACCAAACAAAGATATCCCGCCATATAAAATGAAAGTACCATGCCGAGTGATCGCGTGCACCAAGAACGGGTACGTCTTCACCACAGTAAAGATAAAAGAATGAGCCGCCATCGTAGTCAAACCGCCTATGATACCTCGCACTTGAACTGGATAAACTTCACCAATCATCACCCACGGTATAACAAGAAAACCGAGGGTGCACGTTATAGTGTACGCGAATATGCAGAAAACGGGGAACCAGGTTGCAATTATCGGCAAACTGTTCGCGGTCCAATAAGTCTTCAGCCACATATAGCCGCCTAATCCCAGCATTGACAATCCGCAGCCAATGGAGGAGACCATAGTCAGTGGTCTTCTGCCGCATATTCTACAGAGAATGCAAGCGACTATAGTGGAGGCGAGTCTGACTACTCCAAGGATTACTGCAGCTAAGTACTTGTCCAACGTGGCACCCGAGTCGTGGAAGATCTCGACGGCATAGAACGTGATCACGTTCGTACCGGACCACTGGTAAATCAAGAAGTACAGAAATAGCAGTGTAAATGGTTTGAGGGCGTTCGGCTTTAATAGAGCCCTGACTATCTCGCGGAGTCCGGTTAAATGTTTGATGTTGTTCTTATTAGAGAAATCGATCAGCGTTTCCATTTCTTGATTGACGTTGTACGTGCTGCCACGAAATTGTTTCAACGCTTTCCGCGCTTTCTCCGGCCTGCTGCGGGATATGAGGTAAGACGGTGTTTCTGGGTAAAGGAACATTAACAGCAGAGCTGCGAGAGGTAGAATGCCGCTGATGGCCGCGCAGGTGTTCCATGCTAATGCGCTTCCTAGTGCGTATTCGATCATCACGCCGGTGCTCACTCCGATACTCGCGAAGGCGGTTAGCATCCCTCGTAAGTGAGGCTGTGTCACTTCTCCGGTGTAAACTCGTGCTGGGGCCCCTACCATGCCTGAGCCGAGACCCACGAAAAATCGGCCGGCGTATATCATGCGTATATCGGTGGCGAACGCGATTAGAATCCAGCCGAGCAGTGCTGGGATCTCTGTGATGATTAGCGATCGTTTTCTACCCAGTACGTCCATCATGTAACCGGAAATCAGGCAACCGATCGGAGTTCCGATAGACGACATACTAGCTGCAAAGAAATTGAATGTTTTTTTTAAATCCTCATTGATCTATGTTACAATAGAATAAAATATAAGAAAAGATAGAATGAATAGGATGAATACAAAAGTATGTGGAGGAACGGAGGAAGTGAAACAGGAAATAAGAGTGTATACAGTAGAAAGAGCAAACGAAATGCAAACTGAAGATAGAGTATGGGAAAACAAAATTGAAAGTATAATAATGATGGGAAAGAGGTAGACTGGGGACAAGCGACAGATTGAATGTAAAACTTAGAGAAAATTCTAAAGAAATGAGACGAGAAAGATAGAAAAGATAATATTATTATTACAAGGTTAAAAGTGAAACATCAGAATTGCATTACAAGAAGAAGTTAAAAAATTCCTGAGAGAAGAGTTGGACTACAAGGGAGGGTTAGCGTGGGCAAGATGTATAGTAAAGTTTAAAGATGTAATAATCGCAAGACCGAAATTAAGAGACGAAAAACTACATATAATAAAGAAGAAAAGGTCTAGCAGGATAATCATAGTCAATCGGCCCCCACGCCGATTTTTTCAAAATTATACACCTGCAAAAATCTTCACTTTCATGATCACAGATTCTTAGAAAGTACTTTACTTTGTACGGGTATTAGAGATTGCTTACCGATCCATGATTCCTCTGTGGATCCCTCTTCGATGGGAATGGTACTGTTCGCTTCCTGAAGTTGTGGTAGCGCGATGGCAGAGAAGCCGAAGGTCATACCGGTGCCAATGGTCCCGAGCTGGGCCACGATAGCTGCCAGCACTTGTTTGACAACGCTACCGTTCACATTTTCTCCGGCCTCAGGGTCGCTATTCTTACTGTTTAATGGGAGCGGAAGTTTGCCATCGGCCAATTTGTTCGATGACAACGTTTTCGGTAGAATCGTTGGTTCGACCAAGGACGACTTGTCCGAACTCTGAATATCACTGTTTTTGCTGCAACAGATAATTTAAATCGTTATTTAGTACAAACTTTATTTTAAAATAATTTGACGTTGAAATATGAATTACAATTGTTTCAAAATAATTTTTTTTTAAATAATTCCTGTAATTTATTTTAAAACATCAATTTAAGGAGTTGTCGCAATTCGATAAATGTTTTATTCAAAGTGAGTACGTGAAGGCACACGTGGTGGAGAATTTATGTAACGAAAGACGACTTGTTTATATGAAGAATAAATATAATAAATCTTCTATCGCGTTATACAACCGGAAAGTATTAAGTATACTTCAATGGTTCTCTTGTCATTATCTACGAGATAATTATTTTTCTCCATTACTGATAAAGAATCACATGTGGGCAAGCGAATGTAAATATTTTTCGAAAAAGTAAAAAAAGATGTAGCCATCAGTTTCTGTGTCAATTAACCCTTCTTATCATGCACGAAGTATACGTAGCGAAGCCAAATGGAGATAAGTCGAAAATTTGGCACTGATTTCAAGCTACCAAAAATAACAGCCGACCTAGATTCTCGCTATAGCTGTACGAAACGAGTTATGGATTCTTAAAAATAATTCGATCAATTAAAGCTATTGTTGCAGGAATTAAAAATACAGTTCAATCATCGAAACTGATATAGTAAACGTCTCAATTTGTGTTACAATTTCAATTCACTGGAATAATTAAGATCGTATATAAAATTAGAGGAAACAAGACGGTGAACAGAAATTGTGATGAACATTTACTATATTTGATTTAAAATTAGGAGGAATAACAATAACGGAACTTAAAATTATTTCACTGAAAGCGAAAGGGAAAGGGAAATAGAAGTAGGAACGTGAATCTAAAAGGGGAACAGCATTAAGTAGACGCACGAGGAATTTTATCATTTTGTGTATGACACTAGTGTGGGTAATAGGAAGAATTATTATAAGAATATGTGTTTTTATCCCGGACATATAACCGTTATCACTCTTCGATAAGAACAGTGTGCATGCACTTTGTTATGACTGAACATTTTATGCGCACGTGCATTGTACTTATCTTTCCACATGTCCGATCATTTAACAATAAGTATATCAATCAGTCTTAACTCTAATCGATATACTACAAAAATGTCTTATTTGAAGATTCCGAAATGTAATAGAAGAAAAGTGGTAACTGCATGTTCTTCAAAATGGTAGATTATTATTACGAGTATAATCAAAGAACGTATGAAATAATTTTTTTCAACAAATAGGTTTAAAAGAATTTTGATGATACGTATATTTAATCTTAATCCTAATCGACATTTCATTACTAAAAAAATTCGTCTTTGAAAATTTTAAAGTGCAACATTGAAAAATTGATAACTCCTATAAGAATTTTATGTTAATTCCTTTCATTCAGATTTTTTCTACCTTCTTCTACCTGTTCTGATACATGTAATTCTAAAATGAATTAAGGAGATTCATGCTTGATATATAATTTTTGTACGAACAAGTTGAAGTAATTAAGGACGTTTCCATGAATTCTGTTAACTGCCGCCTGTAATTATCATCAAAAGAAGGATAAGAGAGGTTTACTGAGAGAAGATAAAATGCGTTTCAGTTTCCTCTTTATGTCGTCTATTTATCTTTTACGATTGCCATTAATTTAGTTAATTGTCCTCGTGATCCTTAACCGAAGCATGAGTAATCATGTGACGTGTGGCTACAAATTCTATCAAACCGAAACTACAATAGTCTCTCGGCTCTTATAATAACTTGATTAAAATTTAATCATGGCATTAATAATAATTATACAATTTATCAATTTGTCAATTCATCATATCAAAATCTTAGCAGATAAAATCGTTGCCCAATATTCTCGTGGGTATAATAAAAAATAATTAAGAAATATTTGGTTAAAGAAAAAGAAAATAAAAATTAGACTACAAAACAATATTAGCATAAACTAATAAGGGTACTAACACTTACATGTTTATCGAATTGTTTTTATATTACTAAAAATTCTGCCTTTCAGTTATTATTAAAATTTGATTAAAAATTAATTGGTACACTAATAATTTTATACCGTTCATTACATTTATATTTTTAAAAATTGTTTGTGCAAAAACGTTGCCCAACATTTTCTTGGGTAGCTTTAAAGATAATGCAATAATGTTTGTTGAAAGGAAAAGAAGATTAGACTAACAAACAGCGTTAGTGTAAAACAATTGTTTATAAATAACGGACGAGAAGTGAAGTGGAAAATTCTACTGCATGTGCACGTGTACATATTATACAATGGATTGTAGAAAATTTGGCAAGGTTCGTTAGATTTTCCGTACGCCACGTGCGAATATTCGGAGCGAGGGTATTTCAGGGCATCATCGTACAAATACAACGGCGAAAAGAAGCAAGTATGCATAAATACAATCGCTCGCAACGTTTATATACGTGAGTCATTTGTCTTCCATCTAGGAACGCACGATCATTTCTACTGAAATTAATTATCACTCGTTCCGCTTTTATGACGTGTAAGCAAAGGATCAGAAGATTAAACCTAGACTTTATTTTGAACAAAAATGTCACATTATTAATAGACCGCGGATTTAATGCATTTGTAGAAAAATGATACAAATTCATTCAATGCCCACGTGGAATATAAAAATGAAATACATATTATGATTTTTAAAATACTTATTTAGATTTCACCTTTTACATTGAAATTCTTATTTATATATCATTTTCTTCATTGATCTTGCAAATGGTTTATTTTGCAGAAAGATCCGTAGTCTATGTTGAAATTTCCACTACGTGATTCTTATAGGCTTTCTCATGGTAAAAACGAAACCGGAAGCAGAATTACTTCATCACGGATCGTTTCCGAATAGCGATTTTTGTAGAAATGGGTGATTACAGGGAAAATTAGGTATTATATGGAAATTAAGAGGTCGAGAAACTTCATTTTTGAATAAACACAGTAAAGAGCAAAACTGAATACTTTATAGCCTAGAGTATAGAATACCTTTTAGTACTGAACAACTTTTTGGTCTTTACGTATTATTTCAGTTTTAGATGACTCTTAATTCCTAGATTCTGGTTAGTTTTTTTTTCTTATTGAATGTTTGTTTTATTCATTTTTGTCTCATGAGCGCGGTTGTTAAGATTAAACAATTTATTTGAATTTAACTTGTTTCGAAATCTGGTCTCTGAGGTTTCTCAATCGAATTGAGACCAGGCGACCTCTTTCGTCGCGTTGAGATTCGTAAGTCATGCTCGAACTATTAGCGTTTAGAGTCGTTGTTTCTTTCGATGACTGCTCCGAACCAAGTCAATTACGTTAATGCTCAAATGCCGCTGTATTGACTCTGAATAAAGACGTCGGAGTTAGGGAAAGAACATGCTGATTGGTTTTTCACGAAATGTTAAAATTCTAAACAGCGTGTCCCCTTGGGCGCGTCCACCCTCTCTAACGTTCTTTATCTGTCTCTTTGTCTGAGAAAGGTGTGGCAATATCGATGTGTACGCGAGTACCTATAAAGTTCGGTAATGTCAGAGTTTTCTGTTCAGGTTGATCCTTGAAGGTCGGAGTACCGTTACGATGTACCGAATGCTATTTATCCTTCGGAACAACCTATTTTATGATATAGAAATGGCTCCTGAGGACGAAACAAATAAAAGACTAAAATTTTATTACTAAATTGGCATTATTTAAGAAAGGTAAAGTAATATTGCCGGCAATTTAAAAACGTCTTTCTCTAAATATCCTTTTCGACGCGGACTCTAAGTTCTCTTGATGAAAATTCAGCAGTACATTTTGAACAATTATATGAGATAAGTATTTGTTGAAAAGTTTGTCGGAAATGGTTAACATTGTTATGTATTATAATTAGACTGCAGATTTTTATACAAAATAAAACCTTTGTGGTTTAACCACGTTAAGGAATGCGTTTTAGATAAACATTCATTTTATCTTTAAATATTGAAATACGCATTCAATATAATCAAGGGATATCTATTTTTTTCATTACAATTTCTATTTTATTTCAATTTTAACTTTCTTCAAAATTCCTGTACATATATTTTAGTAAACTGGTCCATTTAACTACTTAAAAGAACTCCGATCGTTTTTTAAAAAAGTTATTCAGTATTAAAACGTGTTTGTACAGTTTTGTTCTTAGTGTACATATTCAATTAGAAAGATGTTACATACGTTAAAGAAATAAGCAAAGAACGAGTAAAACAGTGGAATGACACTTTGCTTTCACTTCCATATTAAAATTTAAAATAGCAATATAGAATCGAATATTTTGTGAGCAATTATTGCAAAGATAAATGATATTATGTATAGTGCTGTTTATTTGGACAGCCTCGAATAGCCCATATTTTTTCGTAAGAAATTGTACGTAATATGAGTAAAATAACACGGATATACAAAATTATGTAATGAAGAATTGTTGTGAATATTTATTTTCTAATCTATCGCTAAGCATCAACTAACTGACTTCACTAAACACTTCACACTATTCATGCGAAAGCCAGAAGCCTGTTGTTATATTCCCAACAACAACGGATTTTCCAAATATCTACATCAATATAAACTAATGTCATTTAGTAACTCATAATGCAAACGGATCTAGCTAGTAAGCAAGAATTTTCAATTCTAAAATAACATGTAAAATTATAAAAAAAATTCGGGAGCGACTAGAAATTGTGACGTAAACAGAAGTTAAAACATTTACCTTATTTATACTATACATACGTTAAAGAAATAATCGAAGGACGAGTTAAACGGTAAAGACATTTTCTTTTGCTTCTATGTTAAAATGTAACATAATAATGAAAACAAATATTTTGTGAGCAATTATTTTGAAGATAACCGACGCACGTATACTCCATTAGAGAGATGATACATGTGTTAAAAGAATAAATGAAGGAAAGATAAACGGTAGATCGATATTTGCTGTCACGTCTATGTTAAAACGTAACATAATAATAAAATCAAATATTTTCTGAGCAATTATAATTCAATGTCATCGTGGAAAGTATTGTGAGTCACTATATGTATATACAACTGTCTGCTTGATAAGAAAACTTGTACTCACTCTGCCATGGTCCCTCCCTGAGTCGACAACGATTTTAAATATAAAATAAAGCCGGATATGTACAAGTTATATCACAGTCCGTTAATCATGATGCTACAATAACAATATACGAATAGAATCGCTCGTCATCGTCTCTTCTTCTCTTTTTGTTTTCCTCCTGTCTTTGTTCAGCCTCTTGTCTTTCTCCGAGTGTCTTCCTCAACGAAGCCGCACAAGATTACGCGCTATCTCCCGGAAAAGCTTACGCTCTCTCAGAAAATTCTTGAAACGCCTATCCTGCGTCCCGTCTCGTGATAATTGATAAGTATCTTTTTCCATCGACAACGCATATGTCAACTCTCCACTGTTTCACGCTTTTCTAATTGCCCGGTTTAAGTATTATTACGTTGAAGAGAAGTATTATAACGAACAGCGAAAATTTTGTACACATTAATTAAATAACAACGCGCGCGCAGCGAACGTACTGAATAGGACCGGGTAGCTCGGCTTTATATATGTCCCACAGAACTGTCCTTCGATTGGTCAGATCCCGGCGCGAGTTCGGCGGTGGGGATACCCGCGAACTTTGTCGGGACACGCGTGCGCGTGACAGTACGAAAATGGGAAATTCGATCTACTTTATATCGTAAAGGAAACTTGCGAATGATGATATATGCATATAATAATGTACTGCATTTACTTGAATCTTTATATAAGAGAAAACCCAATCGGAGTCGTCCTTCATTTATTTTTCCTTCCGTTTTATGTTAAAAATAAAAGATTTATGAAATTATAACGTATACAATAAGCAAAATCAAATACCTGCTTCTTCTTAAAAAATGAGCAAGTATCGTGAATCAAGAGTCTTTAATACAAAGGTCTTATGGCTTTTTCTCGTATTGCGATCTGTGGCATTATTGCATGGAGTGGTGCATATAATAATGTATTAAAATTAGTTGAATTTTTAAAAAAGAAGCTACTTAAAATTGTTATCAAAGATAACAGTAGAACAGTAGGCCTCGGTCAAGTTATTCGAACTCAAGTGAGCTTTTAATATTCGATCTGCTGAAACTGTTGGTAGATTGCAAGCATTCTTAATTTTTTTTCAAAACTGGCAATATTTTGAATTATTATATAACATATTTCAGATATAGTATTCCTCTAGTTTCACGAATTGTATCAATCACCTGCTATCAATATTCTTCATTCTGAACTTGTTTATACAGAAATACAATTTGAATGTAAGACAACAAGGTCCTAAACATTATAAATTGTCTTGACCCTTATCATCATTAACCAGTTAAGTGTGTTTGACGACTATATCCGTCATGGAAGAATGGCAGAATTTTGTGTTATGACGGCTATATCCGTGAATAAATTCATTCATTTTCTAAAATAAAGTCGTCTTTTTGACCCAATATTTCAACAGCGTCACTTACTCTGTGTTTGACGACTATATCCGTCATCGCTTGATTATCGCGACACACACTGGGGCGCACTTTGCAAAATGATCGACACAGTTAACTGGTTAATAAATTTATATCTGACTATTATCCGTCAAAATGAATTAAATGTATCGATGAAACGGTTTCGCAAGGCAACAATCGTAACTAAATACAAAAGTTTCTAATCAGAAGATCAATAGATGATAATCATCTATTAATTTCATATTAGATTATCATTCTCTTAATTAGTGCTACGTAACCCAAGATCTACTGTATTAGTGTACACATTAAGATAACGGGAGGTTTCACTTAGCCTATGAAAACTGTAACCATTTGGTTGTTGGTGAAAACGTCATACATAGCATAGATTAAACTGTTTGTATTTGCATAACCCGGGCTATTCGGTACGTTATCTCCCTTCGTCTGGGCAGATTTCATTGTTGGATTTACATGCTCTATTCACAATTCGTCATCGTGCATAAATTGCTCGATACACAATGCCCGATAAACCAGTTACGTCTCTACACATTTTATACAATCTCCAAACATTGCAAAGAATTGTATACATCGTCCAAACAGATCTTCGCACATCGTACTTCCATTCATTTTTTTTATACTTATGCAATGTCTGGCAACCATAAAATCAATTGGACATCCGTATTTGAAACTTTATTTACATAATATAGATATACTGTTCTGCATATACTGAACATATTTCTGTACATACTTAACGTACAATTCTGTGTCAATTTTATTTATAGCATTCGACTAGCTTGAATGATTTTATCTGGAGGAAGAAGAGAATTTTATGTTCTCAGGAAGAACGATCTTGCGGAACGTGTCAAAGGGAAATTTTTGTTTATCTGTTATCTCTGGCTTCGCGATTGTTACGAACACCATTACGGGTGGAGACGTCAATATCATAAATTCACGAACAACAATCGTGACAAATTCAGTCACGAGTTGATAGAACCGCAGCCAAGCGATATGCCATGTTTTTCTTCTGATAAACAAATGATCAAGTCCTCATGTGATCGTTCTTATCGATTCCAATTTAGATTGCACTCTGCCAACAGTTCCGATTTTAAAATAGGAACGAAGTCATTTACGCGATGTTCTTCTCATTACAAAGCGAACTCATTTGCACAAAAGTTTCTCATTTTCGTTCGGAGCTGAATGTAACAAAATTGTATGAACAGTAGAACCTTGTTTGTATGAGCTTTTCGGAAACAGGATATAATAGAGGCTCACCTGTTATCACTGTCACACTGTTTTTAAGTTTAGCATTCGGATAATAGAAGCTCACTTAATATTATATAAGCCGTACGATCGCTGCGAAAAGTTTAAGAAATGAGATAAAATACTATGTCCAATGTTTGAAGTGTTAAACTTTCAGGACAAATGGTATTCACAGAGAAGTGAAATTTATAAAATTGTTCGACTTGTCTTTTTAAGTTACGAGGAATTTTTAACGTATAATTTCTATTATTCTAATATACGGTTTTGACATGGTCCAATCTTTCATGGTCCAAAAGCATGCAAACGATTATTACTACTACTGTTATAAAATTCTATG